ATATATTATATATATAACCCCAAACCCCAAAGCCTCAAACGACGAAGCCCTGAACCCTAAAACCTTCAAGCCTCAAACCCTTAAGCTTGAACCCTAAACCCCTTCGGCTTGTCTTTTCTTCTGTGGGTGGAGCGAGGAGAACTACACGAAGTCCGAGGCGACCAACAAGAAGAAAACCCTGGGCAAAATCTTGCTTCAGGGGAAATTCAATCTTAGCAATGAGCAGTTCGAAGCCGCACTCGAGAGTGGCGAGATCATCGCTGTCCGTTCCAAGAACGGACCCGATCGTTACATGTGGTCCGAGGATGTGCACAACTCCACTTCAGGGAAGGAGAAGAAGTTTTCCATGGGCTCCGATGCCAAAGCGAAGGATGGCGAGGCCAAGTTCTTCGAGAAGCAGTCCAAGGATTGGAGGATTGGTTTGTTTGAGGAGAAGAGCGAGGGCAAAGCAAAGCCCCAGAGAGCTCTGACAAATGACTCAGAGCAGCTCGCAATCTGCGATGGTACCGTGGCCGCCAGCAGGAACATGACGGAGAAGCTGTGGAAGGCAGCAGATGGGCAGCTTACAAAGGCGATCGCGGCCTACAATAAGATCCTTGTCGAGGGCAGAAAGTTGGTTGCTTCCGTGGATGAGAAGCAGGACAAGGACATGTACCAGAGTGTGCGACTTGGACTGGTTTTGTATTCCTGAAACAACCTTGCCAAAAGCTTCAACTTTTTTATCCTCGCAAGTAAAGTCACCAATTTAACTCGTAAGTAAATACATGGAGGCTTCAACCTTTGTCTTCGCAAGTAAAGCACAAACTTTAACTCGTAAAAGTAGTCTCTTCAACAACAGTCGCATGTAACCAAAGTGTTGTGCTTTCTCTCGCAAGTAAACCCAGTGCCCGAACACCGAAACCTGTGTGAGACCCCACAGCTGTAAGGAAGAGCATCGTCCAACAAGCAACAAAATCGAAGCAGGGACTTGAGCACCTTCTCTCGTGGCACGAGTACGAGGATGAGAATGAGGACGGGCCGATCACGGTCTCATCATATTCCAAGACCATGAGAGAGTCCGGGCGAGTAGCAACTCATCTCGAAGAACAAATGGCAGCCGTGAAAGCCAAGTTGACTGTCCGAGCCAAAAAAGGATGCTAGACAGATTTTGAATGTGTGCAGTTCCGGAGCTGTCGCCTCTATGTGGTGCAAACGGCGATTCTGAGTTTTGGCGATGAGAGAAAAAAGCAACGGCGATGATGAGAGCTTGAGATTTGGCGCTTTTCTGGTGATTTTTACATGTGAGCAACGACGTGTATAACTATAACCTTTTGAATCATGTTGGGGTGTTGGTCTTCGTGACTTTCAGCTTCAATTTTAGAGTATATATAACACCGATGGTGTTGTTGTAGCCTGCTTTGCATGTGTGAGTGCACACATGTGTAAAGCTATACCTCCGAACCTCAAGCATTGAATCAACCATGAAAGTCCATACCTCCAAAACCCTGTGAAGCTCACAACACAACCTTCGTAACCCCAAACCCTGAACCCTCTATAAACCCTTAAATCCTGAACCTTATATATAAACCCTCACAAGATTTGTTTCGTCCAGATTGAGGGGCAGTGGACCGTGTGGTTTAGGGGGTTTGGGTTTTGCGGGGTTGGGGCAAAAGCTTTCTGTTGTTGTTTGTATAGTATATTTGGTGCCCACACATATATGTATAACTTGCTCACAAGCCTCAGCCTCAATGCTCGGTGTGTCTGACCATGTGTGTCCCGTCCTTATAAAATGTTTTATGGCTATAGCGAACAAACCACTGTATGAAATAAGGCACAAAAGTTCAGCTGGCAACAAACACCAACTTTGCATAAAGGTGCTGTTCTGTTTATTTATATATGGAGAGAAGGTACCATGGAGGATGCAGGGCCCGAGCGAAAGCGACGAAAGGGTGGGGTCCAACAGAGATTGGGCCAGGCGGTGAGTGAGAAGTCCACCTCAAGTTCTTTGCACGATTTGCTGATGACGTATTTGGCACAAGGCCTCCTGTCGGCCTCTATGATTCATGCAATTGCAGTTGCAGCGGCTGCCGATATTAGAAATGCAAGGGACGGGAAAATTCTTCCTGATTTGGACAGGCTCAGCAAGGTGAAGCATGGAAAAAATTTGCAATCTTCTATTGACAACCACTTGGCCCAGCAGTCCAATCTTCCGATGCCGACAGAATTTAATATCCCCTTAGCAGGACAAGTCGAAGGCACGGCGACTTCCATGATATTGCTTCCGCACGAGATTATGCACCACCTTTGGAAGACGACGACTGGATGGATTACTTCTGTGTTGCCTGATGCGGAGGCTTTGCCTCGGTTTTGGAGATCGTTCAATGGACACCCTTGCATGTCAAATCATGCGGTAAAATCGCGAGCTAATTGGATGCAAAGGGCTATTCCCCTTTGCATACACGGCGACGAAGTTCCTGTTTTTGGAGTGGGCAAGATATGGGCTCGCAGTGTTTTGGCTTTTTCATGGGTATCGCTGATGGCCACAGCGGCCGGCCGATCTGCTGCCGATTGCAACCTCTACATTTGGGGCGTTTTTGAGAAGTTCATTATTCCGGCTGGCGGCGAGGGGGCTGGGACAATGGAAACTTTTTGGCAAGTGATGTATTGGTCTTTCAACATTCTTTACACCGGTAAATGGCCTGCTCGGGATTGGCAAGGCAAGAAGCAGCCTGGTGTGTTGTTGTATATGTACACATGTGCCAGAAATCTGGAAACCCTTACATTTTAGGACCCTGTGGGAACCCTATAAGCTGTAAGCCTTTTTGTCTTTCTTGATTTTTTATGATGTGGGTCCTGTTTTAGATATGTGACTATATACATACACACCCTATGTATGAGAGCCCTGTTCTCAAATCCAACCCTAACCCAACAGCTTCCTTGATGGTGATGATATATATATATATATACACAGTATATAATATCGTATAAACATATATAAGCCACAAAACCACGGACCCGTGGAATCCCAAAGCAGCACGAACCGGATGTGAGAAAAATCACCACACAGTATACGTAAAAAACCCTCTCACCACATGTAGATATATATATGTAGATATATATGAACCTGTCTCACAAGTAAGAAAATGTTTGTTACACGGCACAGAGGTATGGGGCCAGTACAAAGGAGGGCGAACGAGCGGGAACCGACCTATGCGGAGGATATTATGGTGTCCTGGTTCAAATGGCTGGCGACTTGGATTATTATGCGAAATGGCTGGAGGTTCCACGATGGAGCAATCACAGCAAACCTTGTGCTCTTTGTCGGGCCGCCTTCAAAGGACCACTAACATGGATGGACAATCGTGCAAATTCGCCGTGGCAAGCCTCGTGCCTCACCACCACCAACTGGAGATCCCACTGGAATCCATCATGCCAGCTGTATTCTTTACCTGGCTTTTCGGGACTTTGTATCACGATGGACTATATGCATTGTATGTTTTTGGGGTGGATACAGTTTTTTTATGGCTCCGTGCTCAGCATCGTGGTCCACGATTGTTTGGGTGGGAGTATCTTGGCGAATTTGAAATACTGCGACTCCTTCATCAAGAAGTACCAGCGAGACAACGAAACCAGATACACATTCCGCCAGCGACTTCTGAAACTTACAATGATACAACCAAAAAAAGGATTCCCCAAGATGAGAGGAAGAGCTTCCGATATTCAATCTTTGGACAGTGCAATTCTTGCTCTATTCGAAGAGCAAATGGACGAGGGTATCTATCAACACAAGCAAATCCGGCTCTTTTTGCGGTTGAACCTGCAGCTGGCTGAAATATTGGAAGCTTATGGGCCACGGTACGGCTTCTTGGCTTTACCTGAGGAGCAAGCAAACCTGGCTTTCAAGCTCGGTTGCCAAATGGCACAGCTCCACAGCAGCCTGCAAGCCCACTACAAAGGGACGGGGGAGAAGCTCTTCAATCTCACAAGTAAGACCCACTTCGTTTTGCATAGTCTCCTACTCAGCAGTTTTATTCATCCGTCGATGGTCTGGTGCTACAAGGGAGAGACGACGATGCATCGCCTGCAGATTCTATGGAAGAGTTGTTTGGCAGGGGTGAAGCACTGGCATGCTTCCAAAAAGGCTGCCCTCAAAGAGAGGCACCTTTTGTTTCTGCGGGGCAAAGTTGGGCGATCGTGAGAGCTTCTTTCTTTTCTGTCGCGAAAAAAAAGAGTGTCTCTCTGCTATATGTGGTGCTCCTGGTCTTTTGTTTGGGCTTTTGAATCACAGTTGTCGTATATACTGGTGTGGATCTTATAAGCAATCTGCATGGATTCTCTTTGGTTAGTTTATGGCTTTGGGCCTGCGAATTTTCGGAAAAGTCCTTACTTCTGCTGTGGATCCTTTACATGTGGTGTCTGCGATTGCAGAGCAAAACAAACTCATGCCGGTGATTTTTTTAAATCCTTTACATGTGGTGTCTAAGTTTGCAGCCGCAAATATGAGTTCCATGTTTGTGTTTGCATAATGTTTTTATGTGTTTTGTCATGTTTTTAGCTCACCAGAAAATTTACGTAAATTTGGTCATTTTACACTAAATCCTTCGTTTACAGTAAATCAAGCCAAAGTGTAAAATTAGGTAAACAGCAGACTCAGGGTGAGGAAGAAGCCTACGCCGAGGCCCGCCGCTGGGCCCGCTGCTCGCTCTCTCGCTCTCTCTCCGTTCGCGCTCGCAAGAAGTGAGCAGGCCGGCTTCGGCACTCGTCGCCCGGCAGTGTCCGGCGGAGGCTTGAGTTATCTTTGCGTCATCTCCCGTAGAATCTGCTGGGCCCAAGAAGGGCTTGCCGGCCAGCTCCGAGCTCCGTCTGGGCCTAACACAGGCTCGGACTCGGTAGGAGTGTACATAGGCATAGGGCAGGGGCCCTGGCTCCGTGCCGATCGAATACGGGCCAAAAGAGGCTCACTTTTGCAGGTCCCGAAGGCTCACTTGCAAGGGAAGCGTGGTGTTTCCCGCTTTCTGGAGGTTCTTGCTGAGGCACAGACCGGGGGCATCGCAGGGCAGGACCGTTCAGAGAAAACCTCAAAAAAGCAGCCTCTGCTCTGCTCTGCGGCTGCGCGGTGTCTGCGTGCAGTACCTTGACTCGACTCCCTTGTCGGAGTTTTTCACCGCGATCGCCACGGCGCTCCTGGAGGCACCCCGGCACCCGGCGCCCGGCACCCGGCGCCCTGTCGGTCTCTTGCGTCTCAGGTGGTCGCGAGACCCGATGCGGATGAGCGTCAGCTACGCATGGCAGGGTGCAGAGCTCAGCCTTCACTTTCCTTCAGCATTCCAGCAACACTGGAACGTTTGCCATTCCTCACGCTTTGGTTTAGAGCGATTTCCCTCAAGACATCGCAGTCGCGGCAGCTTGAGCCCCTGCCACAGATTGCAAGGCAAGATGGTACGGTTTCAGGTGACAGGAGATGAAGGAAGCTGCAGGTAAGCCGAACAATGGCCCATCGAATTTGCCTTGGTGGGCTCGTCCAGGGCACTGAGTCGCACGGCATCTCGATACGACAACTTCAGCTGTTGGCTCTTCAAAGCGGGTAAGGGGGCGAAGGAGCTGTCCTCAATCACAAACCAAGAGTGCTGCTTCTCGCATCCAGGTACAACGCTCTAAGCGTCCTCGTCAGCAAGGCAGGCAACGACTGCTTGCCCCACATGCAGGCCTTGACGCAGGAGCTGTGCTCTGGAAACGCCTTTGCGTCAAGGGATAGGTTGTGGGCAGTGGCCATTCGCTGCCAATTTGTCCCAAGTAGGCTGACAGGAACCCCCCTACACCACGCTGTGCCGTCCACCCACTTCAATCGGGGAGGTATGCTGGGGCCTCTCTGTGTCACCGGCTGGCGGCCACATTTCTCTAATCCTCACCGTTGGATTCCCACTGCCTTGTTCGGCAAGCTACCGGGGCAACTTAGGTCGTGCAGTTGGGCGAGACGGGAGACTCTCTGCCCCTTGCACGAATGCTGTTGCTGCTCTATTGGATTCCAGTGCTGTGGATGCTGGTGCTCTTAATGAGATGATCTGGATGTCGGTGCTCAGCGAGCGGTTGGATAGGCTGCGCAGGTGTGAGGACAGATGTGGCGATGACGATGCACGACGACGCGACAGGGGTCGGCGATGACAGCGGCGACGTGTGCGGAGGTGAGGACAACGGATAAGGTGAGGATCGGAGGCTAGGAATGATCGTCGAGGATAAAAGCGAGAATGCGGGGGAGGACGGTCGGACGAACCCTTGAGCCTGCAGGAGATGTTGAAGCACCTGCAAGCATCCTACAAGGACAGGGCCTCAGGCTCTGCAGAGGATTTGGCACTTGCGATACCAAGTTGCTGTTGACTGCTTCTGAAGACTGCCCTCTTCTGCCATGCCCAGTCCATCGACCGCGAGTGCGAGTTGCAGGGCTACATCTGTGGGGTGCTGACTTCGCTTGTCGGCGACTCAGCTCCGCAAATGGCCGCAAACGCAGCTCCGAAAACGGTCGCGTCCTCCTTTGAGCGGCTCCTGTGTCCGGCTCTCCTTCTGGCAGGTGTCACGTCTCAGGCGCGTCACGGCGATTCGTGGTTACAGTATCAATAGTTTACAAGCCCTCCTCTTGGCGGCGGAGCTGCTGTCAGGGAGCAAGTCGCTATGGCGGGCAACCAGATCATGGAGGAGGCGCTGAAGGTGATCTCGGCCTATCAGCAGGCGTGGGGAGGGGGGCAGCCATGCAGCCACTGCTCGGCGCGGGCGGAAAGGGGCGCCAGGGGGCGCAATCCCGGTGCCGAGGTTCGCGGGGGTGCACAGGTTCTGCACGAGGAGGCCTGGAGCCCGGCGCCGTCGCCGCAGTCCTGTGCCACGTGCGGAGAGGCTTTGCTCCTCATCGTCGCTTTGGCGAACGCGGCCGGCTCGAGCTTCGCTGCCTGGCAGAACAGACGAATTTGGGAGAGCTGCGGGAGTTGGGAGGAGTGCTCGCTCTCCTCGCTCGGCCGAGGAGCGCTTCATGCCGCACTTCGCTCCGCACCTCCAGGCGCCACGGTCGCTCTCTGCGAAGCGTGCAGCGGTTGCGCAGCTCCCCCTCCCGCCTCCTCTCTCTCTCTCTCTCTCTCGGCTCTCTCTCGGGTGTTTGCAGGTCGGACTTCAGAACTACGAGGAGGTGCAGGCGGCTGGGTGCGATCCGCGCGCGCAACCCTCCAGTTCAAGACTCCGGCCCAGATGGCAGACTGTCCCAAGTCCGTCTGGACATCGCAAGAAAAAAGCAGTGGTAACTGGTGCTGCTGCACGGAAGCCAACCCACGCCGAAGGCCGATACACCCGTGGATGTACGAAAAAGATCAACTCAATGGCGTGGTGGCGGCCAGTGGAGGGCACACAAGTTTGTCGATTTAAGGCCCCTCCCTGCCGCTCGCTCGCCCTGCCTCTCTGCAGAGGGGACGAAGCTCGACAACAATATCCTGCTGGAAGATGCGGGAAGAGGGAGCGCCCGACCCCGGCGGGATCCCCTCCCTGCGCATCCCGAAGAAAAGCTTCTGAGGATTCGGAGAAGCCAGTCTCGTGAGCTTGTATGCAGCGCTTGAGGTCGCGCTTTGACAGCTGTGCTTGAAGTCCGGCTTCCGCTCCGAATCGCACGGTACCGCTGCTCTACTGTACTTAGGGCGACTTGAATACTCGGGTGGACGATCCGTTGGTTTACGGTAGACCGCTAGGGACCATTGTGCCGGACAACTTGTGAGCTTGAGAGTTTAAGAAAGTTGTGTCGACTCCACACGCTGATAGATTTCAAATCCACTGGCTGCTCCTGGAGTGATCGCTCGAGGACTTCAGAAACTCAACGGTCTCAACATCGGGGGATCAGGCGAAATCCAACAAACACTCGTTGTTAAACTCGAAAAGAAAGCCAACCATCCCATCGTCAGAGAATAAAGAATGAAGTCGAAATCAACAGCGAATCACGATGACAACGACAAAGAAATCAAGCCAACAACGGCAAGCGAACCAAGGCAACATTTCACACTGTGCGTTCAGTTCAAGCCACAGTGTTTTTGTGAGGCGCTGCCAGTGGCAGTCGGATGCCGACCGTGGAGACCCCACTCCAAACGCCCCGCTTCGACTGATACTCGTTAATCCTTAGGTTGTCATTATTGTGTTATCTTGCTTTATTTATCTCAGGTTGTTCCTGGCGCTGCGATGATTTGCAGTCACTTTTCGATTGTAATTTGAGTAGTGTTTGATTTTCATCGATTTTCTATTCTCGTTTGATGCGCAGCTCCTGTCTTATTAGGCAGAGAACAGGCAGGATATGAAGGTTCGCACCACGGGCAGTGGGCATGCACACGTTGTCCAGCAGATGCCAGAGCTGAGCCCGGCAATCTCAGCACTGCAGCCTGTAAACGGCATTCCAAGTAGCCTGGCTCTAGTCCCTGTCTTCGTAGGTGGGTTCTCATGCAGTACGATGCAGTACGTTGGTTTCAGCAGAATAACCGAATAACCCACTGGCATGTCATCCTGCTTGTCCTGCTGGGAGGTTTGTCTGACGACCACCCGGATGGTCGGAGACTTGTGCACGGCTCTGGAGGGCAAGATCGTCAGCTATTGCGACACGATCTTGCAGGCTTATCGGGGCAACCGACTTTGCAGCCCTTCCGTTGCTTCCGTCGCTTTGAGATCCTGTACACCAACCTCCGAAACCCGGCGGTGGACCGCAAGATCAAGGCCAGAAAGTGCAGCAAAACGCAGCCATGGCTATTGCTCCTGCGCTTGGCTGCAGGCAGCCGTGATGACGAGCTTCGGTGACATTGCCATGGCCATCACCGGAGACTTCGAGCAGTGCTCGGAGAAGAGAGCACCACGCCGGAGAGGAAGCCTCCGCGGACAGGTACCTCGGCCCGGTGGTGCAGATGCTGCGGGAAGCCTCCTCCACAAGGCGCCGGGCGCAACGCCTAAAGCTCCCCAAAGCCGGGCCCCCTTTGCAGGCTGGCCGACGGTCCAGCCGACAGCGAAGAGTGGGTCGAGTGCGCTCCGCGAGACGGGAGACAGCGGCAGAAGCACAGAAGCGCAGCACAGCGGCGGGCGGCGGCGGGCGGCACAGCCCACAGCGACAGGCTTTGAGGCGCTGTTTTCCTTGCGGCACAGCCCTGCGTCGGATGTCTTTTTCTTGTCAGGTACTTGAACAGCCTCCGAGAAGGAGTTCTGGAAGCGTGCGCTGGGGCATGCGGGAAGCATCACAGTCAGCTCCTCGCCGAAATGCAAGCTTTGATGCCTCGGCGCCAGTTCGAGGTACTCCGGAATCATCCACGGGCTTAAGGAGTCCGGTAAGCTGCACCTCTTCAAGGTGCCTTGCAGCGCACTGCTCTGGCTCCCGTAACTGATTTGAGGGGGCTGTGTCTACCACGGTCCTGAAACGCGGGCGGAGCTTCGGTCGGAATAAGAATATCATGTGCCTGACGACTGCAAGAGTCAGATCATGTCAGATCCTTGCCACGATGAGCCCATCACAGCCGCTGCAATCGTCGCACAAGCGAACGCCATTTTTGGTACATTCGGACTCCTGATGATGCTGCTGCCGCTGGTGATGGGGATGAAGATGATTGGCAAGCACGATATGATCCTGGTTGTGACGAGAGATGAATGTCGCGACACTTCGCTGGAAGCAAGATGCGACGGGACGTGTCAGGAGCACGTCAACACGGTGCTGATGCTCGTCAAAGAGATCAGCGAGGATCCGACGACGCCCGGGCCATGATTGCAAGAGAGAGATTTCGAGGGGCAAGCGCGCCACACTTCTGAGCACCGAGGCAGCTGCCCGTGATCAAGGCGGGGGGACGTGTGGTGTGTGGGATGTGTGGGCTCTTGTGCCTTTGAGGCGGCGGTGGGAGTGGTGGGCGACCTGGTCCTCGTCTTCCAAACCGAGCTGACGGCCTACGTGGGCAAAGCCCCGTTCCTCGCGCAGCTCGTGCAGGCAGCTTTGAGGCCAGGGCTTTGGAGCGGCTTTGGAGCGGCAGAGTGGAGCTTTCGGCCGCCCAGACGTCCTTGGCGTTGTCCGCTTGCAGGAGCCAGGATCCAAAGCTGCTGCAGAGTGCGCAGTGGCTACAAAGCATGCTCATGAAGCTTCGGTCTCAGATTCCACAACTCGGGATCGATGTGAGGATCTGTTGACCATGCCTTTCAGGTTTGGTGGCCCCTGACAATTTCGTTTAGTTTAACTCCGGTAGGGAAAGCTTACTGGAGCTTGGTCCTCATCGTTGTGACAGAGAGAAAAGCCAAGAGCTGTTGCTTGAGTTACACCAATCTCTGAAGCCGTCGGAGATGCGGTAGTGACTGGACTTTGTCTCCAGGCGCCATCAGGAAAAAGGTGCTTGCTCCACGCAGCGGTGCTCGCAAAGAAAGGATACGACTGCCTCAACTTGCCTTGTGGCGCAAAGGTTTTATGATGTTGTATGTTCGGCAAGGCTGATGCTCGAGGGGGGGGGGCGCGGAAGCTGCTGTTTGGCAGCAAGGGTAGCTTAGATGTGCTGCTTTCCAGCAGCATAGTCTCAGGCCTGGGTCATGTGGAGCTTCCCTGTTCTGTACCCACCTGCTTTCTCGAATTCATCTACTGTCTGGCCGAGTTTTTGGTTCTGCTTACAAAAAGGCCCAAACTTGAAAGCCTGCAGCTCGCGGCCGTAGCATCCGCCTTCGATGGCGGTAATGTCGTATGTGCCGTCCTTCCTGGTGGTCGCTGCAGTAGCAGCAGTAGTAGCAGTAGTAGTAGCAGTATTGTGGTAGCAGTTGTAGTGGTAGTAGTCGTGGCACCGCAATCCCGATCTGTGGCCACCTGCACCTGCTAGAAGACTGCACTACTTGGCACAGCTCTTCACCCGGGCCCTCTTCGAGGGCGGGTTCGAGGGCGGGTCCGTCTCCTTCTTCTCCGCCTCCTTCTTCAAAGGAGTTATGATCGTCAATGCTGCAACTGACGTGCAAATCGACATGTCACTGTTGCGACCGACCGCGGCACTAATGCTCACAGGGGGCCCCTTTGTAGCCGAAAAGAGACGGGCTTTTGTGCGATCATGTTTTCTCAGTTGAATTGGCACCGGAGCTTTGGTTAGATCAGCGGACCTTTGGCCCCGCTGGAACCGACGATGGCGTCGGATGGCCCACCTAGGTGGGAAGAAAGGAACGCCGTTCCGGTGTGGAACGGCAAGGCAGAGGACTTCGCCCACTTCGTGACTGAGGTGAAGTGGACGCTGTATGCCACCAAGAGAGAGGAGCGACCGCTGTTAGCTGCGAGGATTATCCGGAAAGCGCTGCAGAGTGGACACAGCACTTTGGTTCAGCTTATGTATAAGTTGAACCCCGACGACTACACGACCGAGGGCAGCGTGCAGAAACTTGTGAAGTACTTAGAGGAGTCCCCGCTTAATCGGCAGCCGCTCCCGGACGCAGGAACCAAGATCGGGGCATACTACCGCCGCCTGCTGCGACGACACCATGAGCCACTGCCTTCCTTCCTGGTCCGCGAGGACAAGGTGCATGATGATATGCTAAGGGCTCTTCAGCGATTGCTTCGTGAGCGCGAGCTAGTGTTCGAGGGATATGACACAGACGTGGAGGAGCTGAAGCGCTTTTGTGGGATTCAGGAAGGCGAGTCAGTTTACTTTGGGCCCCCGGAGGGCGACGATGCGGACCCTGACCCGGAGGCCGGAGAGCAGCCGGCGGAGACGGAGGATGACGAGAGCGAGGACCGCGGCCGGCGATCGAGGCACAGCTCGCGGTCTTCGAGAAGGAGCTCAAGGCATGGCAAGGGATCCGAGAAAGGGTCCTGGAAGGGAGCCCCACCTCGGGGCAAGGACCTGCTGGAGCGTCTGATGGAGAAAGGCCTCATGCCACTATCAGCCCTTGATGTCATCAGAGGCTGGATGGTGCTGGAGATGTCGACCTCAACAGAAGAAGAACGCCGGGTGATAAAAGCCGCCACGCGCAACCGGCTTGGCTACCAGGAGGTTCGGCAAGCCTTGCTGTCAATGTTTGAGGACCGCGGCGGCAAGTCGGCCCGGACTTTCGCTCCCGGCAAGGGCGCCTACCACGTGGAGCTGGACCGGGAGTATGCGGACGACGGCGCCTACTACACGGACGCCGCCTACGTGACGTACCAGGACGACGGCGGCGAGAACATGGACGATTGGTGGGGCCAGCCGGCCCAGTGGGGATACTACACGGAGGCCGAGCCCGGCCAAGAATGGAGCGCCAACTGGGCCGAGGAGGAGGCCGACCCCGGCGAGGCGGAGATCGAGGACGAGGTCTATGCGGTCTTGAAGGACGACCAGCGGGAGTATGAGAACCAGCGGCAGGAGATCGAGGCGATGTTGGCGGAGAACGACCGGAACCTGATGGAAGCGAGAAGGGCAGTTGCAGCAGCTGCCAAGGACCGGGGCTGGGGCTCAGTACAACAGCGCCAGCCGAAGCCAACCTCGACCTATATGTCCAAGAACAACAAGGGCAAGGGACACGGCAAAGGAGGCGGAAAGAAAGGAGCAAAGCTGGTCGAAGAAGCCAACTGGGTGAGCAAAGGCCAGGGCAAGAAGGGCAAACCTTTTTCCAAGGGGGCCAGCAAAGGCCCAAAAGGACCGCCGACGTGGGCACATGCATACCACCTTGACGGCGGCCTGGAGTTCTTCACCACGGTTTCGGAAGCGGAGGCCCGCGGCTCTACATCGACAATGGCGGCATCTGAGGGCTTAGTGGATACCGGTGCGACGGCGACGGCTGGAGGCCAAGACGCTGTCGAGCGGCTTTGTGCAGCGGTGGCCGCAGCTAGGCAAGAGACTCAGATCACCGTGTTCGAGAGCGAGAGGCCATACTTCCGGTACGGCAGCGGGAAGTGGGGAAGGGCTCTTTATCGAGTGTGCTTGGAATGTGCGGGTATGTCCTTCAGCATGTTTGCCTTGCCGAGCGAAGGGGTGCCAGTGCTTGTGGGCATGCGCGAGCTTCGTCAGATGAATGCCTTTCTCGGGTGTGCCACGGGCCGGTGCATCATATCAAATCGTATGGTGGAGCTTCGTAGGACACCCAAGGGGCACCTGGTTCTTGATGTTGTCAAGCATGCTCTCCCTGAACCTCGACCCCAAGCACAGCCACCAGCACGGCAACCAGCAGGACAACCGTCACAAAGGAGATCAAGTCCCTTGGGCCCCCGCTGGCAGACACCTACCACCAGGACCTGGGGAACCCCAACGACATCAACCGCTACCACTGTGAGCCCTCCGCGGACAACCTCAACCGACAGAGCAACAGCAACCGCACAGAAGAACGAGCAGGTCAACTACAAGTGGGTCCCAAAGGCAAGCCTTTACAAACCAGCAGCCCAAAGACATGTGACATTTTCCGTACCCGATGCAAAGCATAACGGCTACATGCTAGAGTTGCAGTCTGGGGAGCTTGCCGGTGCACAGTGTGAGCATGCCTTGGTGAGTTTTTGTGATTTTGAGACCGGCGGCATTGCACAACAGTCAAGCTTCCTTGGGCTGAGTGAGAATGAGACCCGCTACTTGTTGACGGGCTCGAGGAATATGGGCGCTACATGTGCCAAGCGAGACAGCAGCAACTCCCCATCGCCACGTGATCATGGCAACCGGCAGCGGAGACCCTTTGCCCAGCGAGATGAAGGCAGCGATCCAGGCCGCCGTGCGGGAAGCGATCGCCGGGGAGCTGAAGAATACGATCACCGAGGAGCTGAAGAACACCAGCACCAAGACGAAGGGCAAAGGATGCAGCCGAGGCAGTGGGGAGAAGACGGAATACGACACCACCCGCAAGCAAGGACCGGACGAGCGAGATCCCCGTGGCCGGGCCGACCAATGGCCATGTCTGGGCCGGCACTCCTACGGCACGGGCGCCAACCGCTATGGCAAGTGGTCGGAATGCACGGTGTGCGGGCATCGGGTCTCGTACATCCCCGCTCGCGACGCACCTGGGCAGACGACCAAGACCAACCTGCCGATGAATGTGACCGAGGCCTTGGACCGGCTGAGGGCGGAAGGTCGCGACCCGGCGGGCTTGGAGGTGAAGGACGTGAAGTCGATGATCGAGATCGTGGCGAGAGAGAAACGCCTCCTGTATGGCAAGCCGAAGTCGAAGACCAAGCCGGCGGCCGAGCCGAAGCGGGGCACCAAGAACAAGGACCCGAAGACGGCGGTGGTCGTCGAGGACGAGGATCTCGACGGCTACGACCGGGTGGAGGCGACGGAGAAGTCGGAGCCCGAGTGAGCGACGACGCGGCCCCGGAGGCCGATGACGCCGGGGCAGGGGAGCAGGAAACTTGGATGGAAGATGATGAACCCCTGCCGTCCGAGAAAGCACAGGAGCTGCACTTTGCAGCCAACGAATTCAATTTGGCAGCCATTTTGGATGCCGTGCAGCCTCGACACGCGTGGGAGGTTGCTTGCAGGACTGAAGGAAACCTTAGAAGCGCTTGTGCTCACCGTGGCTTGGTGGTGCACGATAAGTCGCTTGGAGAAGGCTACGACCTGAACAAGAGGGACCATGTGAACTACTTGTTGCGAGAGGTGTGGCAGCAGGGACCATGGAAGATCTGGTTTTCCCCGTCTTGCGTGATGCCACGGTCCCCGGAGTTGCAAGGAGACCTTGCCAAGCTTCGCCGGAAGCAGGCCAAGGTCAGGAGGCAACTGGCGCACATTGTGGAGATTGCCAAGGCGAGCCTCGAGAACTCCAACGGCACGACCCAGATCTACCTGGAGATGCCTGCCGCGGCCCACGGAACATGGAGATCGGCCGGCACCCGAGCTATGAAGGATCTATGGACCGCCTGGGGCCAGCGCCACTACTGGACCCAGCTGGGTGCACGGACCGTGCTCCACAACGACCCGGAGAACCCGACCGAGATCACTGGCTACCCGGCGGCGATGGTCGAGGACATTGCGAAGGCATGGAAGGCGCAGTACATGAAGGCCCGCGACGGCAACGAGGTTCGGAACACCATTGCGGCGGCCCAGCAGATAGAGGACGACAGCATGATCAACGTCGCCGTGCCCGAGGACGTGGACCCTACAGACCAGATGCGGCAACAGGCCCGAGCATTGCTTACCAGACTGCACCTGGCACGAATCTGCCGGGACCGTGGCCTACCTCGTTGGGTCGTGAATGAGGCTCTGAACCTTCACTGCCAGGCCTGCCTTGACACCAAACGGGGCGGCACGATGCAGGTGCCGCACAGCCTTGGTACGAAACCGGCACCCTGGCAAATGGTTGGCATGGACCTCTTCGAGTTGCCCTTTCCGGCCCAAAAGCGGAAGGCCCGGTACCTGCTGGCAATCTGCCTGGCGATGCGCCTGGCTATGGTGGAGCAGGTGTGGGTCGGTCCTTTGAATGGGTCTGGCACGGATAGCGGGCAAAAGCTGGTGGAGACTTTCGCTGGATCCTGGTTGCAACACCGGCCCAAGCCAGAGTGGATCCTGACCGACCCCCAGTCATCTTTAGCAAAGGGCGACTTCGCCGGCTTCTGTGGCTGGATCGGTTGCGGTCTGGCAACCACTCCTGGAGAGGCACACTGGCAAAACGGGGCCGTTGAGACCGCCGTGAAGGCCATCAAGAAGACCATGCGCCGGCTCAGGAATGACAACACGGAGCTCGACACGAAGCTCTGTGGGCACATTGCTGCAGCCGCCCACAATCAGACAGAGTCGGTGAAAGGCTTCACCCCGATGCAATGGGCGTTCGGCTCGAATCCCTCAGCTTGGCGACAGGAGGCGGGCCCGCTGCAGGTGAACATGCATCAAGGTGAGCGTCCCGAAGGCTTCTGGGAACTGCAGCGCCAGCGTGCCAAGGCTGAGGAAATACATCGACAAGAGCTGGCCCGTGAGACCTTCACCAGGCTGCGCAATGCGGCGCCCAGACCGTTGGTGGACTACCGCATAGGTGACTGGGTGTGCGTCTGGAGAAATGCGACTTTGAAGGCAAGGCGGGCCAGAGGACCAACAACGGTCAACCCAGAAGCTCGCTTCATCGGGCCCGGTCGGGTGGCTTTGCTGGAACCACCTGTCTTACCCGACGGCCGTGTGTCGGTGATCTGGGTGCTGATGGGCACTTCTCTTTGGAGGTGCGCCCCGGAACAACTACGCATGGCAAGCGAGCAAGAAGTGATTACAGAGTTGCTGGCGAAGGGCGACGTGGTGGCCCAACCGGTGGAGAATGTGATGAAGGGGCTGCGCCGCTTTGTGGACGTGACCCGGGAGAAGGACAAACCCGAAGGCGATGGACTTCCGGAGCAACCGTGGCCGGAGGGAGCGCCGGAACCTAACCCGGCGGCATCCCAAGCACAGCCCATGGAAGAGTGGGAGGGCAACCTGGAGAACGCGGCCGATGAATGGGCCGGGCGTTCGGCACAGGCAGCCGCTACACGCTCAGAGTCCCCCGCTCGAAGCAGATCGCCCGGAAGGTCTGGAAGCCTGGCTGGCCGACCGTCTGTTTCTGTGCGCGAGCAGGTGGCCCGATGGCAGCAGATGACGGCGGCAAACCAAGGTCGGACATTGGACGGCATGCCAAGAATGACTCGCATGCCACCTGAGATTGCCAACGCAGAGGTGCCCGACACGTGGGAGCTCGACATGGAGAGGCGCCTGCTACTGAGGCACCACAACCAATGGCGAAGCAAGCTTTTTGTTCCGACCGGGATGGCCAGCTGCCCGGTTCCCGCCGACCAGTTCACCGGCAAGCGTGTGACTATATGGACGGACCCCAAGGGTCAAGGCGGCAGCTTTGTGGACAAATGGTTTGGTACGCGAGCGGACCCAGAGCGCAGCCACGCCAAGCGCTGGAGAGGAACCACCTCCTTGGAGATTAAGGAGGGATATGACGTCCTGTACCCCAAGCGCAAAGAGTTCGAACAGCCACCGGCAGCAACCACCAGAAAGAAGCAGAAGGAGAGCACACCACCACCGACACCCCGAGAAGAAGGAGACGAAGCTACAAGCAGCCAGCCGGTACCAGAACCAGCGGCTTCCACGACTTCACCTTCTTCACTGGGGCTTGTTATGAGCTTAGAGCAGGCAGCTGAACCAGAACGAGCTGCTTCCGCGACTTCACCTTCTTCACTGGGGCCCTCAGGCAGACAGCCAGACAGATATGATCTAGCAGAGTCCGACCGAGTGACCCGCCTGGATCCCGAGACCATTGCCCTGGTACAGAGGAGGATAGAGCAGCTCGAGCAGGAGACCAGCCAAGGGGTGTCGCTCAACAAGCTACGTTTGGAGCTCCGAAGGATACGCCAGGAGGAGAAGGACCTTGTGAGAGCAGTGCGTCGAGCATGTGATCGTAACGAAGAGGCCATGGTCGTTGAGTTTGACGTGGAGGACCTCAACCTGTTCGTGGCGAGCAGCGCGACCTACTCGAAGGCCAAGCTGGCCTCGAGCACCGCGGCGAAGGAGGTCAACTACCGGAACCTCAACCACGACGACGGGGCCCGGATGGACGAGGCCATGGCAAGAGAAATTTCTGAGGTCCTGCGCTCGATGGCGATCAAGGCGGCTTCGGAGGGGCTTTCAGAGGATCAAGTGCGTGACCGGCTCATTCCCATGAGGTGGATCCTGACCTGGAAGCCGGTACCGGATGGAAGCCCGCCAACGAGCTCCAAGAACGAGGTGTCCAGCGCTGATGGCAAACACAAGGCCAAGGCACGTATCGTGTTGATCGGGTACAAGCACCCAGACTTGGCGCGACGGGACAGCCGCACTGGGCAACAGCAGCTGCTTACGGCGAGCCCAACGTTGTCGCGATTGGGCAGGTGCATGCTGCTCCAAGCCGCTGCTCTGGACCAACATACCATAGAGTGCGCTGATGCCAAGAGTGCGTTCCTACAGGCCGACAAGGGCATCGGCACAGAACCCTTGTTCACCAAGGGAGTCCCGGAACTAGCCATGGCGCTGGGATTGACACCGGGGTCACTCATGGAAGTGGTCGGGGCCGTCTATGGCCTGACAAACGCTCCTCGCATCTTTTGGCTCGACGTCGACGAGAAGATGCGAGCCTTGGGCGGAAGACCACATGACATTGACCGATGTATCTGGATATTCCGGAACAAGGAAGGGCGCGTCATAGGGCGCGTTGGAACACATGTGGATGACTTCCTGATTTGTGGGGACCATGAAGATCCAGAGTGGATGGACATCCGGGAGCGGATCAAGAAGATGTACTCCTGGTCTCCATGGAAGACCGGGCACTTCACCTTTGCCGGCTTGGAGGTGCGCCAGCTCAAGAACTATGAGATTCGGGTGACCCAGGAGGCGTACTGCAACGCGCTCACCCCGATCGAGATCACTGGCGACAAAAGCCGGGGGGACTCAGATCCTTTGACTCCTAAGGAAGTTTCCCAGTTCAGGGGTCTTACCATGAAGGCCCAATGGCGTGCGGTGCAGTCGGCTTTCCAGTACTGCGCCAGAGTGGGAATGGCAGCTTCGGCCGTGAACAAGGCGACAGTGGCACACCTCCGGGAAGCCAACGCCATGATGAGAGAGCTGAAGAAATCAGCCAAGGAAGACATGGTCTTCCACTCCTTTAACTACGGCCGCGAGCAGAAGATTGCCTGGAATGACCTCGTTGCCCTGCACTTCGGAGATGCCGGGAACAACAACCGCCCAGACGGCGGATCCACAGGGGGTTACTTGACCGGGTTTGCTGCTCCGGAGATCCTCGGCGGCAACGAGACCAAGGTCAGTGTGCTAGACTGGCGCTCGTGGAAGCTGGACCGCCCGGCCAAGGGCACGAACGGAACGGAGTCCCAAGCCATCTTTGAGGCGGAGGACAAAGGGTGGAAGTGCCGACTGTTTTGGGCCCTGCTAAATGGCAAAGAGCTGACGCGGTCTAATGCAGCCGCCCTCGCCTCTTCTATGGAGTCCCTCCTGATCACGGACTCTCGTGGCCTGTATGATGCCATCACCTCTTCGGATTCTCCTCTGCTGGGGATGAACAATGCCAGGACAGGCATCGAGGCGACTGCAGTACAGAAGGGACTGAGAGACAACGGCAAGTGCTACCTTACGTGGGTGCCAAGTGACTTGAACCTGGCCGACAGCCTGACCAAGGCTACTCACGAGGCATTCCGAGCCGCGGCTCTGTACCACAGCCGCAAGTCGTGGATCGTCAGGTTCAACGAGGAGTTCGTCAGTGCGCGGAAGCAGCAGCGTCTTCGGAAAGCTCAGCAGGAGAAAGAAGCTGCAGCAATGGTGCAATGGCCCGATGACTTTTCCGGCGAC